GGACCTCTTCAACGATGACAGGGGCCTCTTGAACGGTGGGAGGGGACTCTTGAGGGATGATAGGGGCCTCTTGAACGATAGGAGAGGCCTCTTGAACAATGACAGGTGAGTCGGGCTTCTTCTTACGGAGTCTTCGCACGTTTGGGGTGAATAGAGACGTAATGGAACATGCACGCCGTCTGATGCGTGAACCCCGTCGTGCAAGAAAAACCCGACGTAAAGCATCCACCTTATTGGGCCGCTAAAAATAAATTAAAACATAAATCAGTAAATACACCAACATGATATTAAACAGTGAAAACAAAGACAAATATGTTTCAAACTTGCACGGTATTCACCCAATTCATTATTCTATCATAGTTCACAAAATGCATCAGATAACATTCCAGAAGTAAGCACTTATATAAACATTTAAAAGGACAACATATAGGTTTAGTGCATGTTCAAGGACAACATAAAGAGTAGTAGTTTATTCTTGAAACTTAAATTTGCAACACTGTGAAGTTAGTATTTGTCTTTTGGTTGAAGTAATGCAATCCATTCAAGTTTCAATTTGCAGAAGAAGAATAGCCGCAACAAGAAACTTAAAATCGCAACGCGAAAATGACTATCGCAACAAGATAATCGCAATGCGAAATAACAATCGCAACAAGAAAATCGCAACATGAAACTAAATTCGCGTTGCAATTTTCATTTTCGCATTGCGATTTTCACGTTGCGATTTTTATTTCGCATTGTGATTATCCTGTTGCGATAGTCAAATTCGCGTTGCGATAGTCATTTCCGTGTTGCGATAGTCATTTTCGCGTTGCGATTGTTATTTCGCATTGCGATTATCTTGTTGCGATAGTCAAATTCACGTTGCGATAGTCATTTCCGTGTTGCGATAGTCATTTTCGCGTTGCGATTTTAAGTTTCGTGTTACGATTATTCTTCTTTTGCAAATTGAAACTTGAATGGATTGCATTACTTCAACCAAAAGACAAAGACAAATACTAACTTCACAGGGTTATTTTAGAACTGTTTAGCAGTATTGGCATCAACCGAATGAATTTACTAAGCAATCTAAGTGAAATGGTTTAATCTAAGTGAAATTACGAGTAAATCAAGTTAAATATGAAAAAAATCTTAAACTTACCTCATTGCGTAGAGTATGAACCTCATTCTACAAGATGCTACCATCTCACGTAGAGCCGCTACCTCACCACGTAGAGTTGATACCTCATCACGCCATGCGCCATTGTCATCGCGTAAATTACCGACCTCATCACGCAAGGCATTGACCTCATCACGCAACTCCCCTAACTCATCCCGTGGAGGTGGAGAACAGGGAGATAAAAGTCGTGGCATCTTTTTCGGTCGCTTATCATGAGGTGATGGTGGAGAAGAGGCTCGATGATGTGACGGAATAGGTGATGGCTCTCGTTGTAGAGGTATATAGTGTGGTCGATCAGGTGATGGTAATGGCTCTGGGTGAGGTGATGGCTCTCGAAGTGGAGGCTGTTCATCATCCGTGCCATAAAAAAACGCTTACTAGCTTGCCACCAATCAGTGGCAAGCTCAGCCTCCGTGGGTGTAAACCTCTGCAATGGAGTGTTGGCCTCCTAACAATATAAAAGCTCAAATAAAGTTAAACGTGTACTAATAATAACTTGTTTATATATGGTAGTATTTGTGTTAACTTACATCATTTATTGTCGTATACCGTAGTAACTCTTCCCAAATCAACAGCCGCCGTTTCCTCTTCCAGGAAATAGCCCTAGGAATATCATTTGAAGTTTTTAATGCATATGTCTGCATGTCGGGAAAAGCCTCAAATATCCAAATCTACAAACAATATAATACACAAACATTAGTAATTGTTAAATAATTAATTATAATTTTAGAAACATTATATAGAAATTCTTACCTTAAAGGCCCAAATAAAGCTTGACAAAGTATATTTGGAACCATCGCCACGCAAACTTTTGCGGTCATCAAAGGCAGACGAAAACTTATTCCAGGTAGCTTTCCATAGATACGAACCCCACGGAAACAGGTTCCATGCATTTAGGTCATCTACCAATAATATTAGGTCCTTAGGAATAGGTTTTCTTGCCTCTCTGCCTAAAAAGTCGGCATGCAAAAGTACTAAAAGGCATACTCGGACAACATCAACGTCATCTATCTTAGTAAAACCATTTTTCTTATTAAATAACCTCGTCAAGTCATCGACGTGTAAATTCGGCTTCTCCATTGACAGCTCAGGAAAAACCCGGGATAACCATGATGGGCAGGTAATATGACTAGTGTATCAACCTACATCATAGTGTCCGAAGCGTAGACCAGTAATTAAGCAAAACTCCTCCCGCCCAAAACACGTATACGCTAGTGGAAAATGAAACCATATCTTTTCATTACCACGTTCTATACTCTCGGGTAGATCGCGTGTCATGGTCTGAAGCCACAGATGGGTCAACATAGCATCTTCACCCGGATGTTGTACTTTGAGCCATGGCCCAAAGCAAGTATCCTCAAACAATTGTCTTTGTACATGTGAAAGCTTCGACGCAATTGTAGTGACTATGCTTATTTTATTCCTTAAGGTCAATTGAGCCGAAAAAAAGTTCTACAAAAACAATAAACATACCAAGTTAGATATACCACAAAAACTACACTGTGAAGATATACCAAAACAATAATAAACATAAAGAGTAGTAGTTTATTCTTCAAACTTAAATTTGCAACACTGTGATTTTTGGTTGAAGTAATGCAATTCATTCAAGTTTCAATTTTCAGAAGAAGAATAGTTTCTGAAACTTAAAATCGCAACACGAAAATGAAAATCGCAACACGAAAATGACTATCGCAACGAGAAAATAGCGAAACTAAAATCGCGTTGTGATTTTGTCGTTGCGATTTTCATTTCGCGTTGCAATTCTCGGTTTCAAATAGTCATTGTCTAAAATTGAAACTTGAATGAATTGCATTACTTCAACCAAAAGATAAATACTAACTTCACAGGGTTAAAGACTAAACAGTTTAGCCGTATTGGCAGCAATCGAATGAATTTAATAAGCAATCTAAGTGAAATGGTTAATCTATTATTGAAATTACCAGTAAACTTATCATCAATTTCAATATGAAAAACCTAATAATAATGCAAAAATTTCAAAATAAAAATAATTAAAAAAACTAACCCTCGGTGGTTGATTTGGTTGATTTTCCATTTTTGACCGTGAATGATTATGAGGGTGGCTCTGAGAGATGGAGATAGACGGATTTCGTCGGAGATGGGGAGGGATTTCGTCGGAGATGGGGACGGATGTCGGCCGTAGAGAGTGAGATATGGAGATGGGATTGAGTTGTGATTTAGGGTTTTAGGTAAGAGTTGCGATTACGGGATATATTAATATTCGTGTTTGGAATTTGAAAATAAAATACGCGTTGCGATACTAATGGCGCTTTGAAAATCGCATTGCGATTATGTATTATCGCATTGCGATAGATTATCGCATTGCGATAGTCAGAATCGCATTGCGATTATGTATTATCGCGTTGCGATAGTCAGAATCGCATTGCGATTTACATATTCGCATTGCGATAGTCAAAATCGCGTTGCGAATCTGGAAACTGATTTGCGATACTGGAGATCGCGTTGCGATTTAGAGATCGCATTGCGATTTTGTTGGTCATTTTGGCAAATCGAAAAAAAGTTGGTCAAAATCGTATATTATAAGGTATTTTCGGTCACTGAGGTTATTTTCTCATATATATATATTACTTAACACATACTTACACTGATGTAAGTGAATAAAATAAAAAAATGTAGCACTTAACGTATACTTACATCCGTGTAATTATGTACATCTCCAAATATCTTAGTACCTAACAATAAACACATAATTATATTGGTGTAAATTTTTTCTATATTTTCAAAGAAATTAAAATTAAAAATGATAAATATATATATTAAATTATTTGTATACAAATTTTATTAAATATATATATAAATTATAAATAATAGAAAACTATATTAAGTTATTTGTGTAAAAATCTAATAAATTAGAAATATATAATTATAAATTTAATTTCTTAACGGTTAACCGTTTATCAAAACTTTAACCGTAACCTTAATCGTTAATCATCATTTTTAGCGGTTCGGTTAACCGAAACCGTTAATATTAACAATTCGATTAATTAACATATTAATTATAACGGTTATATCGGTTAACGATTACGGTTAACTATTCCCGATTTTTTTAACACCCCTAGTATCCATTGTAGGTTTTAGTTTTCCAAAGCTTTATATCTTGAATATGACTCGTTCATTAGCTTCATTGTGCCAATGAAAACTACGCTTTACTGTCAATAATTATTTGAAGTTTTAAATGTGTTTTCAACAATTTAACAGCAAATATAAAATTAAAACTTTTTGAATTATTAACACTAATTAAAATGAGCATTTTATATTTTGGTAAAATAACGTGTTTAAATGTTTTTTAACCCTGAGAACTATAAATTCTATTGGTTTTTTTTAATAATTTTTTAATTTACTTCAAATTTATCGCTATAATTATTACTACAGTATTATAGTCAAGCCTATGTCTAACTCGTACCAAAAACCCATGGACATCAATAAACCCTAAGCCTAAAACCCACCAACTAATAGGACCTTCAACGTTTGGAGAGTTGGATCTCAGATCTCAACATATTATGAAAGTGAATCATCTTCGATAGATCCAACCAAAACCAGTCAAATGATTCAATTTAGGTATACGACGATCAAAGCATTATTCAAAGAAACTGACACCAAATTCATAATTGGGCAAGAAGGTGGTCCGACTTAGACTTTTGGGTTTATATGGTAACTGTTAGTTGACATGGCGGTTGGTACTAGGAGAATGTAACACCCAAAATCAGGGTTGGTGGAATGAACATGAACATAAAAAGTCAACATGTAAGCATGTGTATGTTCTATTTTGAGGGATTAGTTTTATGAAATACATATACCTTTAACATACAAAAGCACCTGGCATGCACTATTTACCCAATATACAAAGCCCATACAATATAACAATATATCATAATCTAACTATACACGTGATGCACCATCGAAAATCATTTTAGTAACCATTTACTTAACTTGCAAACCTATAAGTCATATTCATCAAATATGCTCTTCTCATACCTCTAACTTATAAGGTTAACCAATACAAATACAAGCGTTATAGGGTAGTTCCTGGCCCTCATATTTGCTAGCCCAGCTATTAGATCCATGTGGTAGTTTGTGTCATCATCCTGCAAATTCACGAGTTGTCGTTGTTGTTTTTGCTGTTGGTGTTGGTGGCGGTGGCTGTGGCTGATTTTGTTGCGTTGCTATTGCTGTTCCTGGCGGTGGCTGTTCCTGTTCCTGTTCTTGTTCCTGTGGCTATGGCTGTGGCTGTTGCTGTTCTTGTTCCTGATCCTGATCCTGATCCTGTTCCTGTTCTTGTTGTTGTTGCTGTTCCTGTTGCTGTTGTTTCAAAAGTGAAAGGCATACCCAAATGATATACAGCTAAATAATCAGAACAAGAAGTACAACAAACCTTTTCACTCTCAGAGAATACGAATATACTGGACAAGTCCCACAACTCCACTGACCCTTCGTCGTGCAATGTCACAGACTTGACACCAGCAAGAATGAGATTTTTTGCTGTACAAGTAGAATAAATAGAAGTATCAGCGAGAATATCAGCCCTTCTGCCGCAAGAAAAATGCACTAGACAAATCTAGGACATCAGCACCCAATCCATATTAATAATGGTGCAGCAATCAATAAACATCATACAAGGTAACTGGAAAAGATTTTTGAACAAGCAAATTCAGAGAAAGACATGTCCCGGCAAATGAAATCATTATAAACAAGACAACAAATTTTAAGAAACCCTAAATAACAATCCATCAAAATCTAATCAACTTGTACATCTCATGATTCCGAACAAACATTCTATGCAAATACAACCGGATCTATCTTGATCAAAAGGAAAAGCATGCCTCCGATTCAACTCCATTTAACAAAATTAAGAAAAAGAAAAGATAAAAAATCTAAGATCAAAAAATTCATACCAATTTCATCACAAAGACCCTGCATCCAAGAAACAAGTATATTTGACGCAAAAACCCGCCTCATAGTCTCACGGCCATAGACAGCTAGCTGCCGACTACGGAGATCCTCATCTATTTCAGCATGATTCACATCACCAAGATTCAAGGTCGATGGTGAAGATTCAACGATCCTACCAGTACTCTGATCTCCATTACCTCCTATTATTACACTATTAGCACCGTTCTTGGTCATTGATTCGTTATCCACGGCAGTGATGGAGCAGCTATCAAGGCGATGCTTCTTGAAGGACGATGCCGACGCACCCTTGTGGTTGGTGTTGCTGGAAGTTTCAGAGTCAGCTTCTATAACCATTACTTCATCAGAAGCAGTTCTCTTTCTAGGAAGCATATTGAGAGATAAGCTGCCGAAAATGCCACAGAAACCCAAATAAATTACGGTGAGAGCTACCACAATAGAATATAAAATTAATAATCAGGCATCGTTCATGAGAGGAACGAAGTTCTGGTAGAAATATCCGTTAAAGATCAGAACTGAAACTATAAAGCCCAAGACAAAATCTAACTTGAGCATCGAATTGATTCTAAGGCAAAAAATAGGCAAAGAAATATCATCATTAAGAAAATCATTTACGGAAGCTTAAAATCTTAAGACTTTATCTAAGGAAGCCAAGTTCGATATATTGTCATAAAATCTTTAGAGTTTAAGGGCTTGGTTAATCATAAAACATTTACCAAAAAGCTTCAAGTCCCTTTATTCAAAAGCTGGAAGACCAAATAGCTGCATCAACCAGTTGAGAAATGTTAGATTCATGGTATTCTCATAAATGGATTCAGGGAAGCATGGATTAATAAGGAAACAAAACTAAAATTTAGTGTCGGGAAATAAAAAGAAGAAGCTTTAGAATCCATAACTCAGTTGGAAATTGGAACAAAGACCTCTGAACTCTGAAGAGTGATTTGAGATTTGCAACTTTGGAGGAACGGCGCCTTAATATAAGCTTAAAAAGGCGTTACCGGTATTGTTATTATTTAAATAATAAAATCGGTAAAAAATTACTTAAAATATTATTATTTCTATCTAAAAATCAATATTTTTTAATATTTCTATCATTCATTCTTCTATCATTTTGTCTCTGTTTCAACTTAAATTTAGGGTTAAGTGAACGAACTAAATTAAAACCCTTGAGAGATATCGAGTGAATCCTCAAAATCCTCTCACAGTTCAAGGGCCATGTATTGTTATTGCAAAATGGAAGTCCCCATTTGCAATTCAAGTATGTATTGAAGCAAAGGAATAAGATTTTATGGCCCATGAATAAGGGTTTAGGATTATATTTCATGTATTTTTAGTGGATTTTTTATTGTATGTAATTTTTATTATTTTATACTTGAATTTTCCCTAGAATCGTTGTAAGTTTTTTCAGTGGCTTGACAACGAAGAAAGCAATGGTTCTGTATGTCGTAATCGTTTTTCGCCAGGAGGGGGAAAGACTGAAACCGACGGGGTTTTCTTTTAAAAATTATTTTGAAAAGATGAGGAGTCGCCACCAATCATTTAAGGTGCGATTGGAACACCATAAAAACCGGATGATTTTAAAAAACATTTTTGTTTTTATCAAAATACCGAGTTTTTGAGGTCTGCGAAAATCCAAAAATCAGGTTCGGGAGTCGGTTACGCGTGGGGAAGGATTAGTACCCCCACAAACGCCCAAAATTTGGTACCTAGTTGATTACCCTATATTTAAAATAAAAAATTTGGATTTTGATCTTTATTTAATTTAAAAATCATTAAGGATGCAAAGTTGAAAAGGATATTCATTTACCGAGACCGATAGCATTCGCCCCCGAGCGTAAACGCGGAAGATCAACTATTGTGCCTAATAACCGAATATTGCCTCATTTTTAGAAAACATGATGTGGTTTTGAAAAGGATGTCGACTTATTCAAGGAATTACCAGTAGTCACCCCCTGAGCACGATCGCGAGAGATATACTATTAATTTCTTAATAAGTGAACAGTGCCTTATATTTGTAAAAATAATGCAATCAAACAAAATTTTATTTGTCCTAATTAAACTAAAAGTAAATTAAGGCTTTTTCTAACTTAAAGTGTTAAATTATGAAAATTAAAGAACCCATGAGCTCAAATTTAAAATGTAAGTTCTAGTATTAAAGTTTAATGCTATATATTAAAATGGATTAAATATTCACGTATTAAAAAGTTTCTTTCGATAATTTTAAAATAATCGAATATTACCCTTAATCCAATTATGTAATAATGTCGAGTTACACACATGAGGATATCATACATCTCGTGCAAAAATGATGTCATGTTATTTAGATGTAATTCATTTGCATGCCCGTATACTTTTCAAGGTATATTACATGTATATGCATGATAAATATCCATACTTACAAACCGACAAAATATAATCAAAATCAATAAATTAATAACCTTCACATGCTAATTTTCTATTGATATATGTAGGTATACGTTATCATGGAAAATAATAAATAAAAGGAATCTACAAAATAAAGCTATCGCCATAAAAAAAATAGGTTTAATGCATTTATAATGGAAAACATGCCAATTTAATATATCATACACATTATATTAAAATATGAATGCAAGTATAATATTTTTTATATTGATTTCTTTAGCCTACCGACACTCAAACCTTGTCAGACTCAACATTGAGCCACCAAGCACTTACCACCGAAAACAAGGGAAGTGTCACTATGCAAGTATAATATAACTTATATTTACAATAACTTGCCATATAGTAATACGTACATATCGAATAAAAAACTAACTTATATGCAAATAAGCAAAAGTAATGATTTTGTACCAATACTAAATTACCAACCAACTAAAAATATTAATATATAATATGCATAAATTATATATCTATATGCGTAAATTAATAAAAATTATTATAATATATACATATAAGTGTTACGCATGTTATATATATAAAAATAATTATAATATATACGCATGTTATATATATATTACATAATGCGGATAATAAAATATACATTCTACATACTATATAATATATATAATACACTTAAATAATATAATATATATGCTTATAAAATATGTTATATATCGTATGTTTCCAAACTACAAAGCAAATGGCATAAATTATATTATAGGAATTACCAATTTTTAATATATAATATAAAAGTAAAATAATCATACATAATATATATAAGGCACCACCAACGTGGGTTAATAAACAAACATATCACATAATTAAAAAAACCTTACTTTAAACATAGGGAACAAAGATCACTACTACCTAAAAAACAATTCTATCACTAAAGATAAAGTATCCGACACTAAATATTAAAGACACAATTTTATCAATTATTTATCTCAACCAATATTAATGGAATAAGAATAAAAATTACACAATCAGAACAACAAATTCGAAACTGAAATATAAAAACTACAAAATCGATTACTAAAGTGCAAATACGAGGTGAATCTAGGGGATTAAACTATGATTAAATCAAAAATTATAAAACATAAAGAAAAATGGAAAAATAAAAAAAAAGATCCCCCAGTGACCATTTTGTAAAACACGCGTAAACTATGGGGGATTTAAAACGCGATTACACCATTAAATTAGCTTATATATACCATCCTTTAGCTCTTTTTGTTTCATTTTCACTTGTTTCATAAAAAAAATGAGAGAAGCTCTCTCAATCCTCAACCGGTCACTCACCGGACAACCCAACTTACCATTCCGGCCACCACACACGGTGGCCGGAGCTCCAAAATTCACCTAAAAGACCCCAAAGCTTAGATCTACTACCCTATACACCAAACTAAACCTAAAAATTCCCTAAACAAACCCAAACAACCACAAATCTAACCCGACTGTTCGATTTCCTCAAACTCCGACCACCGTGAAGGCTCTCTCCGACTCAAGTAAGCTATTGTCTGACCCTCTTTTAGACTCGCAGATATATATTTTACATGCAAAGAGTTATTTCTATATTTTCAAACTAAAAATATACCTTGAAAACAACTCTGCTATTTTATTACTTTCGAATCTGAGAGTCTCTTCCTTTACATTTTTTCCATTTGGGTATATAGACCCTGGTTTACATTATTTTTCACTTTCTTTTTCTCTTGTTTTTCTGAAACATCATGAGTGAAGTAAAAATAGATTGAAATCACGGGTTTGTCTTGGTCTTGATGTTTGACTTGTGAATCCAGTTGTCAGTTGGTGAAGAGGACTGTGATGGTGCTAGATTCGGTGGCTTGAGCTCGATCTAGACCGTTGGATGGGTCCAGATCGGACGGCTCTTGCAAGGCGATGACAACATCCAAGGGGAAATCTTAACTGAGGGTTGATCTGGGCCCTTCATCTTTCATTCGAACGGACGGCTAGGATTAGGTGGCTGCCTTAGAACATGATGAAACCCTAGTTGGTTTTCATCCTTAGGTTTGTTGGACTGTAATTGGGTTTGGGGTATTTGGGCCATCTGTAAATAAAAATATTATGTTGGTAATAATATAATAATAATGGGACGAAAAAAAAATTAAGTGTCGACAGCTGCCCTCTTTGCTCATTCTTATGTCAACAAGAATAGGGCAAAGAAAAAGAGACAATGTGTTTTCGTCCGGTCAACTTCATGGTTTGAAATATGATGAGGGATCTGTTTTGCTGTCACTCAGGGAATATCAGATCTGGGGATGTTGATCCATTCCACTTTTCTTCAGGGAATATTGAATCAGGTAGACTTGTTCCACTTACTCTGAAGGGAATATCAAATCTTGGAAAAAAGGAGATATGTTCTGCTTACTCTGAAGGGAATATCATATTTTGGGGAGTTAATCCATTGAATCTAGGTAGACTTGTTCCACTTACTCTGAATGGAATACCAAATCTTGGAAAAAAGAGACATGTTCCGCTTACTCTGAAGGGAATATCATATCTGGGGGAATTGATCCATTGAATCATGGTAGACTTGTTCCACTTACTCTGAAGGGAATATCAAATCTTGGAAAAGAGATATATGTTCCGCTTACTCTGAAGGGAATATCAGATCTGGGGAATTGATCAATTGAATCAGGGTAGACTTGCTCCACTTACTCTGAAGGGAATATCAAATCTTGGATAAGAGAGACCTGTTCCGCTTACTCTGAAGGGAATATCAGATATGGGGGAGTTGATTCATTAAATCGAGGTAGACTTGTTCCACTTACTCTGAAGGGAATATCAAATCTTGAAAGAGAGACCTGTTCCGCTTACTCTGAAGGGAATATCAGATCTGGAGGAGTTGATCCATTGAATCGAGGAAGACTTGTTCCACTTACTCTGAAGGGAATATCAAATCTTAGAAAGAGAGACATGTTCCGCTTACTCTGAAGGGAATATCATATTCTGAAGGGAATATCAGATCTGGAGGAATTGATCCATTGAATTGAGATCAAACCTGAAAATTAAACATTAACCTTTATTAGTATGTGTTTGAGGATTCTAAAACATCATACCTGAAAGTCTTGGGATGATAAATTTTTTGAAGAGATTTCTTTTGTGGAAGCTTGTCTCGCCACGACTAAACATGGAAATTCGAATTGGTGATTTCTATGTTGGGTCTTTACATCTCTGTCCTTTCTTTTAAGAGAACCTGCAAACACTCATTATTATGCATTTTATGTCATGATCCTGTTTATGCCTAAAATGTGTGCAATGATGCAATTATTTTGAGGGTATTTTCTTTTCAAGCGAGAATTTTCTTTTGTTAACGTCCTTGCACTTCAGACTGATTTGGGCATAAAAAAATCAACAACAATTCATCTCGATCGAAAAACCTAATTGGAAACTCTTTGGTTGAGCCTGACTCCGATTCTCTTTACTCTTAGAACCCATGTGCTTCTCATGACCCGTTATTTAATCAGTGATAAAACCTCTTTAGTTATCCCACATTGTTGAGCAATCGCGT